GGCACCAAAGAAGGAGCTTTAAAAAGTAATAAGGTTTTTATTTCAATGAAATAAAACCTACATAAGGTAATATAGATTCAATATAATACAATTTGATATTTATGCTGTGATAGAACTATACTCGATGTTAAAAGTTTGACGTTGATTTTTTTTACAGAATAGTGTTACAGCTCTATTGTTTCTGATCATACCATGTAAGGAATTACGTTTTGTCGTACAAATCTTTGGTTAATATAACATGATTTTTTGCTAAGAGCCTTTTATCTATACTAATGTTATAAAGAGGAAAGATGTCATTGTCTCTTTGTTTGCATTCTTTCACCTACGGAAAGTTACGTAATACGCGGGTGACAGGCTACAATTTACACGAGCAAAGTTGCGGAGAAACCACTAGTGAATAGTAATTAAAATGAATAGTATAGGTACCTACCATTTTATGTATGTATAAATAAAAGCTCTGTAAATAAATTTAATATAAAAAAAAACGAGCGGGATCTTGAAAAACGCCCATGTAGCAGTTACCATAAAAAATATTAATAGCCAGCTTAATTAGGGTTGCCACTTGAAATGTACCAGATATTTTACAAAAGTTTTATTGTAACATTTAAATCTAGCGTATAAAATATGAAACCTCACTATGAGCTTTTAAAATATATGCAACTAAAGAAACACCCTTGTACGATTGTATAGCACTATCTCATTCTGGGCTTAGGTACAATATTATAGATTTTAGTTAATGAGTACATTGGATTTATTTATTTACACTTACAAAGTATGGTCAATACATGACTACGATCATGCTACGACAAATAATACAGATTAGTCTAGTCTAGGTAACGCCATCTTTGAGGTGCCGGGTTTGATTACCAGTCGGAAAATGTCAGAAATATCTTTTTTATGTCGTCTAGGCGTTGGGTTGGATTTTGGTAAGTCTTCGTTGTTTTTGAAAGCGCTTTAATACACACGTAGTTTCAGACCTAAACAAACGTGTGCGGTATTGTCTGATCTTTATTTATAAATATTGTATCTACGTACTTCAATAAGCAGAAAGAGAGTAAAAATGATTACTTTCAAGATATAAAATCAAAATTCACTACAAAATTTAAAAATCTATAAGTGGCAGCCCTATACACCGGGGAGGGTAACGCGTGTTCCACATTGTTACATATTGGATGCAGAGTGGCACTTCATAACGGACGGACGGTTTGACAAGCGATGGTATTAGCTGGAAGTATATCCAACGAATTAAGTAGTCAATTATGTATACACCTTCAAATATGGTACCTCCTTACTATAGTATACTTTAGTTGATTGATGTTAATGCTGTCAAATTGAAGAAGCTATAAACTAACAATAGGCTAATTCTCCAATGGCGATACGACTCTCCTATTATAGCACATTGTGTCCGGAGATGCATTATGAGCAGAAAATTAGTTTGTAAGTAATTGTAAACAATACTAATACCAGATTTTAAGTTTAGTTCGTGTAAAACTAACAAAAAAAAAATAGATTCCCGAATGTTGTCCGAAATAAAAATTATTAATATTATTATATAATTCTATATTTATATTTGCTTCTCTGTAGTCGGCCCCTCATTACCCTCAAAACAATCTTTCTCCAACAGCCCTCACCAACCAACGCGGAAGCAGCCCTCACCAACCCACAGAACTCGGGTAGGAATGTAGCTCTCGTGATCTTCTTCCTTCTGTATTTCCAACAATGAGTTTTCAATGCTAGTATCTCCTTTTCACATAATGTGGCCGAAATAAGAAAGTATGCGTTGCAGACTTAAATCGGGATTTAATGTCAAGCTGGAAGAGAATAGACTCATTTGTGCGTTCGGCTGTCCACGGTATTCGGAGTATACGCCTCCAGCACCACATTTCGAATACTTCTATATTTGCATAAACTATTCGAAAATATTCTTTTAAATTTATTTATTTTATTTTCTCGCAAATCTTGTCTATAAATAATTTTAGGACAAACGAATAAAATTATAATTTCAATTATACGAATATCTTCAAGTAAATTAATCTAATCAAAAAAATTTTTTGAGAAAATAAATACGTAATTTATTTACCGACATAAGGCTATTATAATTTCTGATATTCAGTTTCTTAGGAGATATTTGTGATTGAAAAGTGCAAAATGCATAGCCAGTAACACTGAGAGTAACATAATATAATATATACTCGTATGTATACGTCGAGGACTGTCAGCTGGGCCACCTATTTTTATGTTTGTATGTTTTTCAGTTTATATATATCAATTTTGATGATTTTTTTTCTTCTCAGCACTTCCCTCGTCAGCACCTGTCGCAATATCATAAATCGTTATAGTTCTCAAAATCATTTACCCAGCTGCATAAAAGTCAATGTTTGTGACGACTTAAGCTCTAATGAATACTCTAAATTTTCTATCGAGTTAAGAAGCTTTAAGCTTAAGCTTTTAGCTAACAAGTTTAATGAACGTTTTTGACAATAGATGTAGGTACGTCTTTATGTACAGTTGACAGCATGTCAGGTTATACAAAACTGTCAAACTTCTCCACTCTATTTTAAACTTGAATATACATAGTACAAAATCAATTGTTCAAATTTGACGTATCGTGGTACGCTTCATGTACATACTTTGAAAATTACAAAATTCAGTCATATCATAGACAGTTCAAATAAACACTCGGTATTTTTACCGACTTTGTTTCTGGTGTAACAAAACTGAGTCATCATCTGTATTTAGTTCTTGTGTCTTTTATTAGGTAAGTATCTAAGTCTCAAATTTTCACCACCACATATAGATTGCTCGTGGTTTAAGCATCAATACATTAAAATTTATCTATACTAATAATAAAGCTGAAGAGTTTGTTTGTTTGATTGAACTCTATAATCTCAGGAACTACTGGTACGTGTTGATAATTCATATAACGTAGGCACTTATTATATATATTTCATAATAAAATAGTAAAAAACATTTCTGAATAAAATAATAAAGTATATTTTGATTTCTCATAGATTTTCATAATTGTAATAAAATATTAAAAATAAGTATTTCAAAGGGTTTTCGTCACCAATCCAGCGGGTCCTTGGCCTATTACCGGGGCCAATCCTGCAACTGCAACGGCTCGCAATGGTCTGGAAAGAAAGCAGTGTTTTCATTGTTTTTAAACAAGCTTTTTCTACGTATGGTATCTTGGACCAGAGATCTAGTATAGACCAATTAAACGAGCTCAAATCCTAAACTCGAAAATTATGCATTATTTAATTTAAAAGTTTCCATCGCAACTTTTAATTCCATCAAATTGATAGGTACTTTTTAATTTAAACAAAATCGTAAGTTATTCATCTTGGCTTCCTAGTAAGTAGTCCCTTTGTCTTGGGTAATTTCGAAGTGTCAAATTATCAGTTAAGTCATAATAATGCTTCTGATTGTGTTTTAATTGCAAAAATGATCCAATACCTACTTATAAAACTATAAGACCCTCTCAAAACTTGTAAATATTACTAAAAACTCGAAAAACAAATAAAAAAAATCTTCAATCTCTACCATATTTTTTACTCTTTTATACTTATTTCGTTTTCTTACAGTATCCTTCCCCATATCATAACTACTAATTAGTAATATAATCATTTTATTATTTGTAATATATACTATTAATAAAGCCGAAGAGTTTGTTTTTTTATTTGTTTGGTTGAGCTCTATAATCTCAGGAACTTTTTTTGTGTTGATTAGTCAATTTATCGAGGAAGGCTATAGGCAATAAAACATCACTGTATGACGTATAAGAGTGGATCACCAATAAAAAATGTTGCACAAGTGGGAGAATATTTTACTTTTTACGCACCTTGCGTGCGCTGTGTGAAGGGTGAAAATTACGCAAAAATCATGTATTACGAAATTGATCCCCTTTAAAAGTTTAAAAAAAAAGTCCACGGCAGCATATATCTGTCTTATTCCGAAAAAAGCTTATAAAGTGATGAAAATGGGAGTGGAAATTCGTATAAGCAATAAATCGTTACTATAGAAAACATTGTTTAGAATTCAATTAGTCATTGTAATTACATTATATGTAATCTTTTTCCTAATTCATTATTAAATTATTTAAGCTGTATACGCAGAACTAAATACTGTTTCGTATAATTGAATTCGGCACAATTTTTATTGCTAATATTAAAAGAAGAGTTGTATCAGAAAAGTGTAATTTGGCGAATTTTTTTTCCTAGAGGAAATTTTATTTGACGTTACGCATTAAAATCTCTGAAAATTCTGATTTGAGAAAGCAAGAACAAACTATGAGGATTTCTGATTAGGCCGTTTTAAGCCCCATAAATTAAAGCCTTTATCTGAAAGTCCAAAATAAGCACAGTAGTCAAATATATTGATCAAGGCAAAATGACCGCGTAATTATTAAACGACTTAAATAAAAGGACTATTATTTCAAAGAAAACATTTGGTTGTATTTTTTTGCACGACGTGTCGACTTTGCTGCGCACTAAAATGGAAATAAGATCAAGTGGACTATATGAAGACATGCACGTTAGCTATACAAATATCGGTATTTTATTATTATTTAGTTCAATTTATTAGGCAGGCCTATGTCCCAGCAGCGAAAAAGCTAATACGATAATGATGATGATATAATATTTTTGATTAAGACATCAGACCAGTGTGCACACAGTACCCTCGGGCGACGTGGGCGAAGCCGTGGGTTACAAGTTGTTTGCTAATATGCGGCAAATAATGCGTTTGCAGCGCCATCTTGCGGTATTATAAACCTACTGAGATACGTATAATTTAACAAGATGTCGCTAAATGCACAGCGTAAAGATCAGAAGATAGCGTCATCTAGCGGCAATATTTAGCATTACAGAGAAAAAAAAGCACAAATTCACCGCACAACAATGCAATAGCATACTTTGATGAAGCACTACAATAAATGTTTATCTACTGTTTATAGTAATTTTGTATAGGTGGAGTGTAAAATGTGATTAAAAATAAGATATTTACTTGAAACCCAGTTCTTCAACTGGTACTCCAAGTTTAGTAAGTTTAGCCTCATAAGTAGCTAAGAGATCATCGTGAGCTTTCCGGAGACGTGCAGCTTCGTATCTCAAGTCTTCCACTTGAGTGTCTTTTAATTTCAAGAGTTCCTGTAACAATGGAGTAATTTTTCAATCTTTTCAATGCACATCCTTTGTATGAAATAAAATAGGACGAAAAAACCGGACAAGTGCGATTTGCGCAAGAATGGTGGCGTACCGGAAACGAGCAAAAAATCACATTTGTTGTACGGGAGCCCCATTAAATATTTGTTTAATTTGTGTGTAAATATTTGTTTGTTTAATTAGTTTAAATGATATTCTGTAAATATTTCAAGGTCTATCTGTTGTCGTCATTAATATCGAGCAAAAACAAGCAAAAAGAACGTTTGTTATATGGGAGCTCCTTTAAATATTTATTTTATTCTGGTTTTTAGTATTTCTTCGTTCCCGGAGAGTAAAGTGATAATTGCAAAATTTCCACTTCTTAAAAAAAAAATCTGTAAAATAAAAGTCGATTACTCGATAAATTTTAGTATTAGAGAGATGATGCAGGGCTCCTCTGAGACCTGTTTATCTACCTCTTTTCCGTGTTCTGTGATCTACGCTACCATTACCTATTTAAAAGTCTATAACCGATTTTCCGTCATGTTCACAATAACTTTTTTCTGTGTCTATAAATAAAATAAATGCAATTAATGCTTGACCTAACAATTTATATATTTTTATGCGATTCTACAAGCTCAAAATAGTCTACCGTCATTACCTATGTAACCGTACACACGGCATCAGCAGCCGGCTGGGGTTTAGTTCAGATCTATGGATGGAATTAAATCGAATAGGGAAAAAGGGTCAGAACACACTCCCCACTGTCCCCGCGTGGATTTTTGGGTGTGAACACCTGCAGGTGCAGCCTGTAGTTGGTACAGCATAAAGTATCTTCCAAAGTACGGAAGAGTTCGAGATAATAATTGACCTATTCTATGACTGGCCTTTACAAAAGTCGCTTAACCACATTGTAGACCGAACGCGTTAAAGACGGCGACTTTGAGATAATAACTAAGATTAAAGGCCTTTAACCAGGGTTCTCTGACCCCATACTAGTAAAGAAAAAGAGCGGCTTAAACGAGGCCGACCTACCTTAACCCTTCCTACCAACCCGGTACCTTTCGGGTCTTGCGGGCTGGGAAAAGATCAGGGTACCTGACCGCATTTTCACTAGATAATGGACCATCCATGGGGCTAGTCCCACATGGGGCGGGTGGGTGTCAGCCCTGTTCGCCGGTCTACAGAAGGAAGGGATCCTCTCCCCCTTGCCGTACGCCCCATATGGGTGTCCCCTCGGGCTCTCGGGCTCTCCTGCCCGCAGCCTACAGGGCCCGTCGCCCCTCGACGCCGCCAAGGTAGTTCTACGCGAAAGTGTAACCTCACCTGGCAGCGCCGGGAGGAGAGGGATGCATAACACTACTCACATTTTATTTGTAAGTAAGCAACTATAGTTGTAGAAAAACTTGGCAATGACTCGCTTTTAAAGACGTTTGAGAGAGCACTCCGATATTTTGATTAATATAAACAAACATTGCCACGTGTGGTGTCGACAGTATAGTAGTGTCTTGTGCTTATCTTTGTCCCACCTGAATAGACCTCTTACATTGAAACAGTGTAGCGATATGTTTAGAAGTCTCATTTATTTAATATCTGTAGGCGAGCTTCATACTTTTTAGACTACAATAAAATAATAAAATCCATTATAAGAGTCTTGGTGTTTATGACAAGAATATTATTGTAACCGCGATTTTCATAGAAAATTGTACATTACTCGTTCATTGATATAGCTTTGAACTTATTGTCGTAACCGTAAGGCACCCAGTAAACTATAAATAAATTTACAATCGCGAAAAATAAATAAGTAGACGTATTAAGATGCTTCAAATTCAAATATGTTGCAAACACTAAGAACATGGTTTTAGACAGACGGACAGACGGGATTTATGAATGGATAGCATAGACTTTCACAAGTGCTTGTAACGGCCTAGACTGAATAAATTATTTATATTTAAATGAAATGCAGTACATTTGCCTACGCGAACGATTTAATCATGGAAGGCGTGTCCTGGGCTTAATATGCGGTGAATTTAAAATTAATTGATCAGATATAATAAATAAATAAAATCAAATTTTTGGTAGATAATGTTATGTACCATAATGTAGGGGTCAGCAAGTAAATTGGTAAGAGAATGGTTTATATTTCTATGCCGAAACATGGTACCTACATTGCAGCATCCCGTATTAAACAATAATTCTGATCTTAATGACCATGAAAGTTAGAACAACATAATATTTGTTAGAGGTTTTGTAAAATTTACCGAGGTACATAAAAAAAAACAATACATTGCAGTTATGTAAAAATACGCCTGCTGCTTGAAAATGATGTTATTTAAGGCACTTAGAAATCCTATCTCCGCATCCAGACCGTGAAATCAGTCGTTCGTGAAATAATATTTTATATATACTTTTTTGAGTTTACTCACATGCAACTCTCTGGGCCCTAAGTCTCTACCTTCTAAGTTTTTCAGTTTCGCTTCTAGTAGAGCCGTTTTCAAGGAAGATTTTTGCTGGACTTCTAGCACCGCTCTGCGATAAATATAATTGTTCAAATATTTTAATAGTTTCTAAATTTGAGATTTACTTAAAAATATAAAAAAATAACAAACCATTATAGTGCTATTGGATTATTTACTCAATCACCTTTTTATATATTGCACTAAATTAAACCTACGAAATAGGAGGTTTCTAAAAAACGGTAACCAAAAATGATTATGTATAACGGAAAGTCATCTTTCAGAAAGCACGCTAAGTGTTGTTTTCAGTTGCATCAGCAATCGTTATCATCCAAAAATGAGCACTAAGTCCGTGTGATTAAGTTTTATTTTCTATTTGAGATCTAAAAGTGCAATATTTTCTCACGTCTAAGTAATTGATACTCCTGTAGCTAGATACAAATGTACAGAGTGTAAGTATGTATGTAAAATGTTATTCAGTTTCCAATTGCAATTTACCTGGAGAATCTGGCCTTTAGTTCATCTCTCTCCCCTAAGACCCTGTCGAAACGCACTTGTAACACCTCATACTCCCATTTAAGAACTTCAAACTGTTTCTCCAAACTCGCTAACTGTTTAGTTTTCGCCTGAAATTGTATTTAAATGTAAACGATTGTATTTAAAAGAACATCATGCAAAACTGACCTGAACAGCAGAATTGTAAATTGCACAGCAAACTTTATAAAAACTATAATTTCGCTGTGCAAATAGGATTATTAAATACATATTACTACTAAATTATGATGTTTGAAAGAAATCTGTTACCTTTGAAAATTCTTTGTTATAATAGCTTAATCCAGAATCAAACTTCAGACGTGTAACTTTGTAAAAGTGAAAAAAATATGTTAATGAAACAATGAAAAAAAAACCACTTGGTATCTGGTGGCCAGATATTTTTAAGTATTTTTCATGAAGAATATTTTTCAGTCTGGCATTGTAAATGCGGAATTGATTGAATATAATAATGACAAATTATATCATATTTCTAAGGGTATTGTCGCAGTGGAAACTTTTACCGTACCTTTCAGAACAAATGTAGAAACTTACATTCAGAACTCTAAAATTTATCATTTCGTCGATTTCTTCTCGTATACTTTTTTATTGAGAAAATTGGTTAATATGGAAGTCACTTTGTAGCCAGGGAATCATGCAACATATTTACAATAATTGTAATAAGTTAATGCTAGTAGTTAAATAAACAGTTTGAAGCACTATCCTCTGTCCCTGTTCATGCTATTGCCGGACACAATGAGATAGAGACAATACTTTATCTTTACCACCAGCCTTAACAAATGCATGGACTAATTTACAATAGCTACTTACAGCTAACGCCGCTTTGTCCCTATCATAATTAGACATCTGTCGCTTCAGCTCCTTGTTATCAATAATGGCTGCCTCGAGTGGTTCTCTCAAACTTTTCGACTCTGCGACTGCATCCCTTGCTATTTTCTCGGCTCGCTCTTTCACTTTCTGCATATCTTCCATTTGTTGTTTCAAACTGCTGATCAATCCTATAGCAATGAAGGTAGAGTATACCACTTTTGTAAGACACGGATGAAGACAGAAATACTGTCCACATAAGTTTTAAGTCAAAATCAGAAAATAACATTATAGTTGTACAAATTTTATCACAGTCGACATTTTCTTGATAGAAGCAAAATTATCCCTAACCCTAAAATATACCATATTTATAGATTTATTCTTGTAATTAGACTTTTTTATATCTAAAATTGTCACTTTGTAGCTGATGGTATATGCAGCACTTTTGAAATTAGTTTTTTACGTGCGATTTCCTATTCTGTGTATTTATTTTGTTGAAATCTGGTTTACACATGTAAGTACACAAGGATGTTATAGTAAAAAAAAATTAAGTTATTGTCTTTTCTTGGCATACTATTAATATTTTAAATGTGGAAGTTTCTTTGTTTGGATGTTTGTCCGTCAATCACGTCGAAAAAATTAAACGGATTTTGATGAAATTTGGTATACAGATAGGGTATTACCTGACTTAGATAATAGGACATTTTTTATCCTACTAAACATTTCCCTAGTAACCACGCAGGCGAAGCCGCTGACGAAAGTTAGTAAATTCATAAATTTCAATTCATATTGTCTAACACTTATATTAAATGAGATGACTTGTTGTGAAAATAAATTTGTACCTGTAGATTACTTTAAGCTTGTCAGTCTTTGTTATCGATACATGTCACGCTTCACTTCCTAAATCGATACATAGATAAAAATCTTACCAAGGTTATTCAAAGTTATGTCGTTATAATAATTTTTCAAATCTGAAAACGCTCTTTCGTGGTGCGCTATCAATTCCGAGAGTTGTTTATTCTTTCTCTCTTCTACTTCTGCTATTTCTGTTCTGTGCTTAACTGTTAGCTCAACCTTGGTTTCATGAAGTTTCTTTTCAGCTTTATCCTCTATCTGTCTTGCACGCTCTTCAAACATCTCTCTGGTTTTGGATAACTCTTCAGCGTGTACAAGTTTAGCTCGCCTTAACTCATCTTGTGCTGCTAGAACCTTTTCTCGCATTTCTTGCCTCAAAGTTCTTTTATCATTAAGCAATTCCAACTCTTGTTCGGCATGCTCTTCTTTGGCTGCTTTCAGTGCTACTAAGTTCTCAGCTCTTAAAGCCGCTGCAGCCGCTTGTTGTTCATATTTTAAATGCTTAATTTTCTGTTTTTCCGTCTCCAGAATAGCTTCATTTTCTTCTTGCGCTTCTTCTGTAGCTCTTTCCCTATTTCTCAGTTCAGCTTTTGCTTCATCGAGTTGTTGTCTAGTAATTTCCCAGAAGGTTCTGATTTTGTCTCGCTCTAGCTGAAAGTAGTTTCGTTCCTCTCTTTCTTTGTCAAGTTCCTCTTTGACTCTGAGCGTAAATTGTTCTAGTTTCTCTCGAGTCATTTCCGAGGTATCAACGCCATCGATAATAATGGCTAAAAAAGAAGGAGATCTATAAAATATCGTAATAAAAATACGTTTGTATAGCGGTGCTATTCTATTAAAACAGCGCTGTCACAGTATTACCTACTATAAAAGGTAATAAAGATTTTATTTAATTGATTTTTTAACGCTCCGACAGCTCTACGTTCGACGATGCGTATTATTTTATTTAGCGTTGAGCTGAATAAAAGAATACCGAAGACTTATTTAAATCTACATCTATAATTTATTTGAGGTTATTAACCTAAATTATTGACTGTCTAAATCAGCGTTTTCAAAGTGTATCCTAGAGCCCTAGGGAAAATAACGTATATTTGGGGTCCACGAAAGTATTAGCCACATTTAGGCAAATAATGGGATTTGAAGCATATATTTAATTTATTTATTAATAAGCAATACACTAAATGCGGTTTTATTTTATTTTATAACCCTTTTTTTTTATTCAAAAGAGTTTTAATTGGTTAATAAGCGTTTGAGAACAGCAGGCCTAAATGAAATAAATATAAATAAGTACCTGGAGCTTTCTTGCCGCCTCCTTTTCCTCCTTTTGGTGGCTGAAATTGAACTCAAAATAAAATAAAAATAAAAGACAAGTTTTATTTCATTATATAATTCAAATAAGATTTTGCTTACCATTTTGCTGTTGGTTTTATTTTTATTTATTGAGATTTAAATATTTTAGGGTAAAGCAAGCAAGTAATATTGCAATTTTAATATATTATCACACAGACGTTTTAAATTCTCATTGCACCTTCTTCTTCTTTTATTATCATTAGGTAATGGCTTATCTGCGTTTTTCTCACAATTCTACTAATGTCAAGTAATTAAATTAAAATAATGTCTACGTGTAAAAAATGGCAATGAAATTAAATCAAAATCTTTTGGCACAATTTGTTATTGAAAATAATGACAGGAGACGTTGTTATGGTAAATAAACCGTCACCATGGTAACCAAAGTATGTAGCAAAGAGAATACTGTTAATGCTAGGCTATGACACTATTCTTCATTGTTTTAGTCTCCAAAGTTACGTTACGATCAAGATATTGTTTCTAGGGTATTATTGATACGTTCGTATACATTGTGGTATACTACACAAGCTATATAACAGAATAATAAATAGGGTACCTTTTTATTTGTGTATATAACAGTCGGCAAGTTTAAAAGCGGGAGCGGGAGAATGATTTAGTGTAATTTTTCATGAATTTAAATAGACAATCAATATTAGAATCTCTCACATAATAAATATGATTATTCTGGGCAAATTTAAATCTAGGAACAAGTATCTCTCTTATATGGAAAATTAAATGAATGACAATGATGTTACATAAAGAAAGTCTCACTGGAAAGTTTTGTCGATGTAACTTGAGACTTGAGCAAAGAGTAAAATTGTATATTATGGACTTGAATATGAAGTTTGCTGACAAATCATAGATATTTTTTTTTGTAATAAAATGACAAATCTTTACCTACACCTTTCGCATAAGCTCTCAAAAATTAAGAGTGTCAATTTAACCATGTGAATTAAACCATTACTAATTTATCTGGAAACCGTTTATCAGGATGCTGCAAGCTTACGTTACTATGATGTACGGAGCTATAGTCCTGAGTCTATTCTTTATAGATTATGTACTGGGCAACGGTTTCGTAGATTTTACACAAGAGGTATTGTTATTATTTGTTTGCTGGTTTCTTGCCGGTTATCCTCAGTACAATGTATCTCGCCGTAGATTAGCGAATCGATCTTTCGTCATATTTGAGTCTAGTATAAATGATATTGAGTTTGTTACTAACTGCCAATTCGAGAACAGATAAATGAACCCGGCTTATTATTTTTTGTAATTGAATCGTTAATTCCTACAGTTGGGTTCATATGGAGTATTTATCTAACATGAGTAGCAATCGGCAGGCCCTCTGTAAAGGCATTGACTTCGACAGTCATACTCGTTACATAAAACTATTGTTTCCAAACTTTTCGTGCCATTCACGGACTGCAAGATGTGAAGATTTTATTGTAAAAAGCATTCAGAATCATCCATCTTAATAGTGATGTTACTTTCCATCTGTAAGTAAATCGAAAAGTAGTGATATACCGACTGCTTTTTTATACGGATGTTCAACGGGTTGCTGATTCTACTCCGTACAATATTGGCAGTACTTCGTGGAAACGATAATGCTACAGGGTTCCATGGATATCAATACATATAAGTTACTTTCAACGATCGTATAATAGTCATAATCCAGCCTCAGTACTTTTTTTTGGCCTTAAGCAGGAATATACATATATTGTATTCATGTAGTTAAACCTGCACCAAGTAATAGCTGACTATTTTAAGTGATTTTAATTTATTTCCCGTGTAATTATATATAACTCGACATCCTAGGTGAATTTCGTTAAACTATATTATATCTATATGTTTATTTAACTCGAATAAATTGCTTTTAGTTAATATGTCAAATTGCCTGCTTCGTCAAAAGATCTTTTATGGAGGAAGCAAAAGTGGTCCGTCATGAAAGCCCAATAAATATACCAGTTTTGTTCGCCGAAATCGTCGCTTTATCTTTGACAATAGCGGTGAGTCTTTTTTAAGTTGATACAATCTACATGTAAATGTTTTTTTTTTTTGAGGTTCTGTTACATCTAGAAAAGGTACCTGTAACTGCTATGCCAATGGTTTCCAACTGACACGCTATATTCACTCCGTCATGCATTAACGACAGTTGAGTGTATCTCTCGCGAGTCAGTTGAGTGTAGATGTAGGGTTAGAAATTTTTAAGTAGCAGTAATCAGCACGTTTTTCTTACGGAATTGATGTTTACCGAACAATCGACTAATGAGATCTTAGACTCTGAATTAAATTGAAGTTTATTTAACAATATATTAATAAAGAGTAGCTCGGTGGTGTAGTGGATAAGCGCCGCGGCCCGCGATCGTAGTCGTTAAGCAACTTTCGCAGGGGTCGGTCACGGGATGGGTGACCAAAAAAAAATTATCTCGAGCTACTCCGTGCTTCGGAAGGCACGTTAAGCCGTTGGTCCCGGCTGCATTTGCAGTCGTTAATACCCTCCAATCCGCATTGGGCCAGCGTGGAGGGTCATGGCCCATGCTCCTTAACCATCCATAAGGAAGGCCTGAGCCCCTGCAGTGGGGACGTAAAAGGGCTGGTGGTGGTGGATATTAATAATTTAAAATTTTGTTGCTATTTCATATACCATATTATAGAAAATTATATTTGACCTGGCTGATAAGAAGACATCCGTTATTTCAGATTTTTCATAACACAAAGATTTAAGCTATTAAAAATATAAAATTTACAGGTTCTTATCTGATATTTATTTTGTAAGAAATAATATTAATTGTCAGAAGATATAAATTTTGAACATGCATTAAATCAGGTTAGAATATTAAGGTAAAGCAAGACTATTTTAATTATAAAAAGCGTGCATTGCGGTGCTCAGTCTTCTATTTGTCAAAGAATCTTATACGAAGACTATATATCTTAAAAGGCATCTTTTTCATAGTTTTTGAAGAACTACAAGAACTCCAGACATAGGGATCGTATGGATCAACTATTGCAAGAGAGTAAAGATTCTCTTCGTCAAACGAATGAGTTTCTTGAGAAATGGCGATTGAGACGGGTAAGAAATTAAATGTTGACAATCTTATACTATTTATTTAATATGTATGAACAGATATTTTTAATACTCACAATTTCATATAATAATAATAAATATAAGATAAATCACATACATTGTTTAAATACCGAAAAAGTAGCGCAACCATTTGTTGGAACTTAAAAAATATATAACAATATTACATGATTTCATTTCCTGCTATTTAAAATAGTTGTAATTTGCATGAGTTTAGAAAGGTATTAATTGGTTTTTTAATTATTGTATATTTTATTTTTTCAAATGGATACAATTTTTAAATTTAATTACAGGTAAATAATGATATTTCACAACTTCACATCGTAATACTCATCATAAGATTTCTGTACCACCCATAAATTAATATGTAAAACCATAAACTACTCTACACGTGTTTGAGTTACACATCTACAGGAGTATTCTTAAGAGAAGTTAATGTTTGATTTAATAGAAAGCCCGCGTATCGAGGAATTATTTGAATGTCCATACTGCGTTTATACATAGAGTTCGTATTTACAAGATTTTACACGTGAACTCGCTCTTATTAGGGTTGTTCTTGAGAAAAGCTTTCTTGGTTTTCTTTTTTTCACCACAAGTTAATTCTGAAGTGAAGTATGTTATTTTTGGTTTTTGGGTCAAATATGCAATTTGTATGTAGTTTTTACAAACCTTGTGTTAGATTTTGTAGCAAGCATACTTTGAAGTGATGTTAGTTATTTAATTTTTTTTAACTTTAATTAGGAACATACAATTACAACAAACATACGGTAAACATTACATATTTATTATAATTTTTTTCTTCATTTGTATACAAATGAAGAAAAAAAATTAGGCATATCGTTACTAATATAAAATTCCTTTGCCACTATAACCCGGACGCGAGTATATCAAATTGTTCCCCCTTCGGGCGCAGCAAATGTCTTGAACTAGATGAAGGTTATATTGTAGTTTGATAATGGAAGAACAAATAAAACCATGTGCCCAATTATTAATAAAATAAAATAAAATAGAGACAAAATATAAAATTTAGAAGAAATAGATAGATGTGACAGACCCCAGTCGCTCGAAGGGTGAAGGAGATGTATGAAAGAAAGATACGGAATGAAGTAAGAAAGGCAGAGCAAAAGCGAGAACTGGTAAGAAAGGGAAGAAGAAATTAAAGTCCTGCTACTGAGTGGGGGAAATAAGGAGCTCGGCCAAAAATTGTAAGGTCGGGCATTAAAAAAAAGTCTTGAACAGACAGCAGTACGCAAGTAAGCCTTTTTTCAGAAATCACAAAATACATTACTTTCCATTAAAAAACGTTTATGAT